AATTTCTATTGAAAATTAACAATGTTAAAACAATGAATGAAATGTACCTATCTAGTGTATTTAGTGTCCTTTTAGAAATTGAAATTTTATCTTGTATCAACGGTAGGGTGACCAGATGTCCTGTTTATACCGGTATTGTCCCTTTTTTGATCATGACGTCCCGTTGTCCCGATAAAATTCGAATGGGACGCTTTTTGTCTCGTTTTTAGAAGATTGTTCCGTTTTAATCCCATTAATTCCATATTATTTAAAAACTATAATAGTTTTGAAATGCTACATTGTGTTGTTTGATGAGTAATTAAAAGAAAATATTTTATTGTCTAGGTTATTTTACTGAGAAAAGGGTAAAGAAAAAAGAAAATAATTGGTTATGATATGACAGAGACTTGGACTTGAACTCTCGAGATTTGTGTGAATATGTGTGAATGTACATGGATGAGGGTTTTTTTGTTTTTTTTTGGGGGGGGAGAGGTGGAAAATTACAGCTGTCCCGTTCTTTTATTTTTTTTTAACACGGTCACCCTAATCTACGGGGGAAAATTGATGTATCCAATACCTAGTATCTAGGTATCTACTTCGTTTCGAGTATCTTGCCCGTCCCCGTGTACCAGTTGTCCAGTTATTACTGGCCTGTAGCAATGAGAAAGTTCTATTAAAAGTACAAGTATACATTTTCAAATGGTGAACGGGTACCAAAAGCGCATGCTCGCCCTCCGCAAACAATCCTGTCGTCGAAACGCAACCGTGTACGCACCGCTCAACAACTCGTGCAGTGTCTCCTCGGCGGCTTTTTAGCGTTTGGTTCGCGCGCGCGCGTTCACGTTCGTTGTGCATTTTCGTCCGCAGTCGTTGACCGATCGGTTGTCGGTGAGCGGCGAGTTGGCGTACAGGAGAAACAAACACGAATGCGACCGGCCGCTGGACGCGGAGCAGCTCGGGGTGGCGGCCACGTTCAAGTACGCCGGGCCGTCGTACTTGTTCAGCGGCAAGGCTTCCACCGCGACCAACACCGCCAGGCTGGCGTACTACCATCACTTCAGCGAACGGTTCCAGATGGGCACAGCCATCGGGTTCGACGCGTGCCGTCCGGCCGCCGTGTCCCGTTTGGCGTTCCGCGTCATGCGCGACGAGTCGTCCGTTTTCCGGGCGGCCGTCGGTACGGACGGCGTCGTCAACAGTCTGTGGGAGAGACGGCTCAGCGACTACGTGTCCCTGTCGCTGAGCATGTTCGTCAACCACGAGAGCAGCGAGTTCAAGGCGGGCGTCGGGCTGTCGTTCGGTTGGCCGCGAACGTGCACGTTCAATTGACCACGCATCCGCGCGGGTCACGGGGCTACGACGGTCGATCACGCCAACGGTGTTTTTCACGTTTTCGTCGCGTATTTACGCGCTGTTGTTCGTTTACTATAGTTGTGATTGTGTCGTAATAGAATAATAATTATAATAACTGTACAAAAATGATGATAATAATAACGATAGTACGATGTTGAGATTAATCGTAACGTTGTAAGCTCGCGAAGGTGAAACAGATTATCGTGAGTACGTAGAACGCCCGTCGGGGGATATTATTTTTTAGCCCTGGAAAGTTTGCGTTTCGTCGCGTGCATCGCGGCTAGGTTTGGTGGATGAGACGGATTTAACGTCGGTGCAACCGATTACCTATTTTTTTTTTCGGTACCGGCAATACACCCGCCATCTGGAAATGCCGCGAAGCAATACCTCAGGTGGCGGATCGCCATTGTTTATTGGATTCACACAAACAACGATCACCCGTTTGGGTGGGGTGTAGCTGATGAAACAATCCCTCGACTACTGCCCCTTACATAATTAAACTAAGAAAATTTCACAAATTTAAAAACTATTTATTTTCGATGTTTGCGAAGGCAGGTGGCTGACGGAATAGGGAGGATCAGTCGGACGACCCGCCTCTTCGACCGCCTAGACGAAGCAATCCCCTGCTTTGCCTGTCTCTGACGCTCCGCTTCCTCCTTGGCGATCATCACGTCGTGCGCGAAACGGGATACTGTCTCCCAATTGACTGGGATCTCCAACATTAAGGGGACCAGTTCACCCCCCCCCCCCCCCAGGGCAATAAAAAAAAAAAGAAAACAGTTTTATTATTGATGACGTGTAATATATTCGTAGTTTCATTATTATGCTTTGAACTTAAAGTATACAACTATACAAATATTATGATAATTAAATGATTATATTGATAGGTGTTTGAAAAGTTTTGTTAACTATGCTATTTTTATATTCTAATAGCTATTAATTTACTGTAATGTAAAAGTAAACTGTAAATTGGTAAAAAAGTTGTATAAAATAATATCTATTTATAGCAATCTGTGCAACGAAAAAAAAAGATTACGATTATTTTTGTTAACCCCCCCCCCCCCCCCCGGAGCAAGATTGAATGTGCGCCACTGATAGTTTAATATATTATTTTTTTTTGATTTTCGCCGTGCAACAACCGCGCGCGGAATGTTGTCGTGAAAACGTTGTGCTAATTTGTAATACTACACGCTATGCCTTGAAATTAACCGTTTTACGTGATAATGGTTAAAACTGATTTTTCGTGGATAAAAATTCAATACCTATTTACGAAAAATTTAGGATTGTGTTATAGTTGTTTCGTGGTTTTTATATTTTTACGCATATGAGATTGAAAAAAAAAATCATTAAATACAATCGTAGGTAATCGAAATCGTTTTATAAATTATAAATAAATCATATAAAATATAAATATATTTATTATATATTTGGGTTATATTGTAATAATATTATTAAGGGTTCAGATCATGTGCTAATTGTTATAGGATACAGATAAAAATAGCAGTGAGATATAAATTTATTATATGCACCAGATACTCCAAAAATGAAATTTTATTTTGATATTTTTTGCATACATAAAGTACCTTTTTTTATATTTTTAGTATTATTTTCGAAGTTTTGGTGCCATTATTGACTACATACATAATAATATAATGCTTTATTTAAAATTTACCATAAATATTGTTTATATTGACTGAAAAATAATATTAATTTATGTATAGTAAAAAAAATTCCCACATTTTTGTTTTTTGTAACAATTTTTTTAAATTATTAACAGAAGACTATTTTATTTTTTTTTTATAAATGTATTAATTCATAAGATTATAGATAATAATTCAAAAAATAAAATAAACTATCAGTAAAAGATAATTAATTTTAGTAACATTTTTGATATTAGTTGCAACACCAGAAAGCAGTTTTTCATGCCTATAACGATTGTTTAAAACTTGGTTAAGGGCAAGAATTGAAGAAGAAAGATTGACAGGGTTGGTTCTTATGCAATATCGATATGTTTATAAATATTGATAGTATTGACCAAATAAATAGCCTATTTGGGTTTTCCTATTTAAAGGGCTATGCATTCCCTACCCCATGAAATATTTTTGGATACATCCCTATATTCAGGCGAATTAAATATCGGTTGTTTTAAGGAATGAATTTAATTATTTTTCAGAATTTCTAATTGGTTTTCATAAACACGTTTATTTTGTATAAAAATAAGAGTTACTTGTGTAAGTATATATTTTATATATTAAGTCAAATTTAATGAAATAAAATGAACTAGTATAGTTACTAAATACTACAAAATATAATATGTCTAATAATTATATTTAAATGGTTTCAGTTTAACCTAACCTGTTTCATCCAGAAGATCAATTTAATAATATAATTTAACTTTATATTTAGTATAATTGCCTAAAATTCAATAAATAATAACCAATATCAAGTGTTTAAGTTAATAAGCAAAGAATATTATTAATAAATTATAATATATGTAAATCTATTTAATACTGAAATTATGGACATATAAATAAATATATAAATAAATGTTTTGGGAATTATAAATCTTGAATACAAACATTTAAAAGTAATTGTTTGGACAATATATTTTATTAAAATTACTATTACTTATAATTTATTAAAATCATACCATTTATAGTTTCATAGTTTTTTTTTTTTTTTTTTTACTATATTATTCTACATACTTTACCACAGTGATTATTAATTTTATTTAAATTATATTTTAAAATTACAAAATATTTATCTGCTTCCAAAAACTTTCTTAAAACTCATCTGTTTAATGGAAAATATAAATTCATATATTGTTGACCAATTCTATTAATGTATCTCACTATTATTTTTATTAGTTTGACAAGACCCAATGGGAAAACAATACATATAAGAAGGTATAAAATAAATAGTAAATTTAAATATTGTTTATACATGAGAATACGCAATGTTACATTTCAAACAGGTAGATAATAAATAAATCTGATCAATTCAATTTAGTAAATATTATATTAGTTGTACTGGGAAAGATTAATACTAAGATTTAAGTACTAGTTTTAAAAATGTTTAAAATATATATTTCAATACACAAATCTAAATAGTATTTAAATACCAATGTGCAACCAATTATTTCTCAATTACCAAACAAGTTTTAACAAAGGCTCAGGCTAATCAATATCAGAATTAATTTAAAATTGTGAACTAAATTATCTAAAACTGTCTGATCCAATATAATTTATAGTATTATCATGAGAATATTAAAATTAATTACTAAGTAAAAAAAAGTTTAAGATTTAAAAATTTAAATAATAATAAACTATTAACAATATTTTACATCTATTTAGAATTCACCTCAAAGTAAGATTAAAATAAATAAATCATTAATTTCTTAAATTAATTTACTGCCATCCATGTACAAAGTACATTTAAAATTTGTTTACAATATTAAATGGCAATTAACTTTAATAATATTGAATGTATACAATCTAAAAAATATTATATTATATATTCATGTATATTTTATTATTTAAAATAATGTTTTAGGCATTATATAAAAACGATATATATATATATATATATATATTTATTAATAAATAATATAATGTTTATTTAATGAATAGGACTTCTTTATATTGAATAATTTGACATTTTATTTTTTATTGTTTAATGAAGAACATAAAGTATAGAAATTAATAATCATGTTAATTATAACTTAAAATTATAGTTTTTTACTCAAAAGTGCTTTTATGTCTTCAGCATCTAATGTTTCATATTTAAGTAATGCTTCAGCCAAAAGTTTATGTTCTTTTTGATGAGTATTCAATATGCTTTTAGCGCGTTCATATGATTCCTAAAATGAAAAAAATAAATTATTGATATTATTATTTATTAAGTATTTTTTTAATGGAAATTGGGATTTCAAATCTATTTGAAATATAATTTATCAGAGAATAATCAAACTGCAATTAACAAAATTTATATTTCTTAGATTTTTACCTGCATAATTTTTTTTATTTCGTTATCAATCAATTCATTGGTAGCTGGACTTAAATCATTAAAACTCATTAATTCATTTGATTGAGACTCATGCGTTCGAAGTCCGACTTTTTCAGACATGCCAAGTTCTTTTACCATTCTGGTCGCAATATTAGTGGCTTGCTGAAATATAAAAAAAAAATATCAATTTAAAATATCAATCTAATATTAATACAATGTATAGAAAGATACAAACTTTCAAGTCATTTGACGCTCCGGTGGTAACTTTATCTGCACCAAATATTATTTCTTCAGCAGCACGTCCACCCATCATTGTATCCATTATAGCTAACATCCTAGATTTGGTTACATGGTATTCTTCTTTTGCTGGTATGTATGCTGTCTACAATGCAATTAGTAATACATTTTATAGATTTAATTCATTGTATGGAATATCAACATTTAAAACAAAATCTTTAAAAATTAAAAATAAATGAAAATATGATTCATACATGACCTAATGATGATCCTCTTGGCATAATTGTAACCTTATGAAGTGGGTGAGAATCTTTAGTAAAATAAGCAACAATTGCATGACCACCTTCATGATATGCAGTTATTATATTAGCTTCATCATCTGGAATTTTCGATTTCTTTTCAGGACCTACAATTTTCAATACAATATACAATACAATTACAATATTCTTTATGAACAATAAATTGAAAACCTTTTATTACCCATTAATATTTTATCCCTAGAAATTTCTAGATATTTCATTGAAACTGTTTTAGCTCCATCACTTGCTGCTTTCACAGCTGCTTGATTAACCATATTTTCAATATCAGCACCAGTAAAACCGCTTGTTCCTCTAGCCAACAGATCTATATCAATGTCTTGGCTAAGTATTTTTTTTAAATATAAATCTAATATTTGTTTGCGTCCAGTATAATCTGGAAGAGGAACCTAAACAAATTTAATAAACATTTAGTTACTAAAATATATTTACTATATTTATTTAATAGAGTTAATCATTTACATCAACTTCAATATCAAATCGACCAGGACGAAGTAAAGCACGGTCTAAATCTTCACGCCTATTAGTAGCTCCAAGTACAATTATGCTCTGATTTTGATGAAATCTATGAATAATAAGAGATATTTAAAATCAATTAACTTTTGATATAGTAATTAAGTTAAAAATAGTTTACCCATCCATTTCAGTAAGTAACTGGTTAATTGTTTGATTTGCATAAGGGTGTAACACAGAATTTGTTCTTTTTGCTCCAACAGAATCAATTTCATCAATGAAAACTACACATGGTGATCTTTCTTTTGCAGCTTCTAAAATGAAAAATAGATTTATTACTATAGCAGATTTATGTATTATTATAAATACTAATGGATTTAATTACATGTATAATATTTTTTATGAGTCTTCATATATGTACAAATATTGTCATTTATATACACATAGTAAACATATAAATACATACATATTGATTATACTAATTAATTAGAGTACAATTTTTTTTTTTTTTTTTTGTTTATTAGATTAAAATGTTTTAGACAATTTAAATCAACTATAAGTAAAAGAAATACACAATCGAGGATTAAAAAATAAATAAATAAATAAATAAATAAAATATTAATTTAAAGCTGTTAATATTATTAAACTTCAAAAAAATATAAATTTCAAATGTTTTGATTAGTTATTTAATATGATGTAAAAATGAAAAACTGTTAACTAAAGAAAAAATATTTTTTATTTATCTCAATACAAGCAATACAAAATTTAAATTTCATATAGTATTTTTGTATTTATTAAATTAGTTAAAATAAATCTACACACTTAAAATTTATGCCAAAAACATTATAGTAATAGTTTTATATTAAAAATAAATAAATAAATTCAAGTGTTGTTGTCTTCTGATGTAACATTTACATTTTAAAGTAATCAAAATATTAAAACCAAGGCTAGAAACTTTATAAGCTAAAAAGTACTCAAATATGCGCCTACACATAAATTTAAAGTCATCATAATGTAAAAAAATTTAGAAAATATGCAAAAACATTCAATTTATTGAATAAAATAAAATTTACATAAGTTATTAAATTTATATGTATTAATTGTAAATTTAATTGCACAAAAATTTGATAAAACATAAACACTGCACACTTGTGTATTCTTCTGTCTTCTTATTTACAAGCTATACAATATTCATTAAACTTTAATATTATTAAGGATAAATGTATAAATACTTTAAATTAAATAATATTAATAATAATTTCTTGGTATATTTATATAAAATTAATTCAGAATGGTCGGTGATCACTATTAAGATTTTAAAGATTATATCATTATTAATTACATTGAAATTAATACTAAAATAGCTATTAATGAATTCATTTTTTTTATCAAACGATATAAAATATGAATTTCAGTTGTTATATACCTAATATTTTTTGATGAACTATACATTTTTTTTTCATTAAATCTATGCATATATAAATTTCTTAAACATAAAAATATGCCAATTCTTACAAAAAAGAACCAAATATTCAAAATTACGCATCATAACTGTTTGTATTTGAAATCTGCATACTATGGATCAACTTTGTATCGAACCAGAACTTTAATATGCTCTTTTTAAACAAATATGTAAATTCCTAATGTTTCGAGCCTTCTTTATAATATTACGAGTAATTATTAATAATATATTAAAAATGATTTCCTTGAAACATAAGAATTTAAGAAAAATAGGAATAAAAATAATACTTACTGAAAAGATCTCGAATTCGTCTAGCACCTTGTCCAACAAGGATTTCATCAAATTCTGAACCAGCTGCATGGAAAAATGGTACTCCAGCTTCTCCAGCAACAGCTCGAGCTAATAATGTTTTACCAGTTCCCGGTGGTCCAACAAGTAACACACCTTAAGTATACATAAAATAAAATTTAAAATATTGATAAAACTATAAAAAGATAAGATTATAATTTTACATAAATATTGTAATTTACCTTTTGGTAACTTGCCACCTAATGATGAAAATTTAGAGGGATTTTTAAGAAATTCAACAATATCTCTCAGTTCTTGTTTAGCTTCATCAACCTGTTGAACAAGAAAAAATATTTATGTATAAAAATATATTTCATTGTGCTTATAAATTTACTCCTTTGACATCATTAAATGTTACTGTAATTTCTTCAGAGTTCACTTCGACTTGATTAGTAAGTTGAATTTTAAACATAGTTCCTGTTAATAGCACTAAAAATAAATGAATAAATCATATGAATCAACTTATTCTAATAATTTCTAAAGAATCAATAAACAGCAGTGTTAAATTAAAATAATTTTTGTAGTACAAAAAAAAAAAAAAAGGTGATGATATAAAAATTAAAATTGTTTTTAAATTCAAAATAATAACAATTAATGTAATATCGTACAAATAAAACAACATATATATTTTTATTTGAAATTTTTAGTCTGGAATCTAAGTTAAAATACAGTAATTATGAAAAATTAATTAAAAATTATTACATTTTATTTAAAAATATTTTTTAACTATCTAGAGTTTTTAATACTAGTTAATCCTTTCAGTGTAAAAAATATACATTACCAAATAATGAAACCAATGTAGCAAGTGACAATCCAATTATAAAAGAAGATTGAATAATTTTCCACCATTTATGAGGCTTAGTATTCCCTTTCTGCTCTCGTGCTACTAAATATCCTTCAGCAAAAGATATTTTTAATCTGTCCAGTTCTTCTTTATTTAAATTTTCTTTTTTTAATAACTCTAATAAGAATACCACAAAATTTAAAAATTGAATGTATTTATAAAAAAAAAAAAACTTTCAAACATAATATGCTTGATTCGTACACAACAAATATGATAAACTTGACAACAATGAAGTTTTTACATAATAATTGTAAATAGTTTATACATTTATTAAATTGAATAGATTATATTTGCCAATACGTGATAAACTAGTTAGTATTTATATAATAACTTAAATAGCAGGTAAATATTATAGGTTTGGTTAATTTACTAAAATAAACAAGCATTTTCTATATTAACTGATTCAACACATCAACAGTATAATATAATATACAGTATAATATAGCACAATTTATTAATATAAAATATAGTAAAAATTTACCTCCCCATTTATTGGATTCAATATCTGAAAATATATCGTTAGTTTTGTAGTCACTTCCTTTAGAAAATAAAAGAAGTTCTTTTATACGCGATATCAACTTTTCATCATTTTCCTTTGATGAGATACGTTCAGTCTTAAAACTTCTAAATTGAATATCTGTATCAAATACATAAACTAGTTAATTAAATGGTGCAATAGAAAAACAGATAGTATATTATTTTGTTTAAAAATATTTATGGTTTTAAGGATACTATAATCCTGTAATTATTGAGAACCAAATAAATACATATTTTATTTTTATTTTTTTTATTTTTAGAATTAATTTATACTTAAAAAACATAAATCCTTCAATACCATTTTATTTTTATAATTTATTTAATATTTATTTATGTAGTTTACAGATTACTTATAATTCCAAAAACAAAATTTTGTCATATTTTTTTCTAAATTAAAATGATTGGATATATGTTTATTTAGTTTAATACATTTGTCATTAATAAAATTGAGTTTTATATTTAAACTTGGAATTTTAACTTAATAGTTTGTAAAAATACTTGACAAAATAAATTAAATTTATTAATGAATAAAATTAAATATGCCTGCCGGTTGGTTTTAAATAATAAGAGAAACAAAACCTTTATTTAGATCGCTCAAAAAATTACAAAAACTTCATAACTAGGTAGTACCTACAATAATAAGATTAGGCTAAAACAATTTTATGATTTATTTTAACACAATTAACTATATTTAAATATACAATCTATATAAGTAGATTATTTATTATTATATAAAAGAAAATAATTTATAAAATTCATGAAATATTAAAATGTATTCAACAAATATTTAAAACATTATTAATTTCCTATTTCAAAAAATTAGAAAATATAACAGAAGTTTAATATATATATATATATACATTTATACCTGTAAAAAATGGCCGAGGATGGTGTAAAATGTGTTTGCCAGATGAAACATGTGAATTTGATAAAATTAAAATGTGATTATTGTCTACAGTATGGTAACATTTTAGACCAAGATTTTTGTTCACAGATTTTTGTAACATACGTACAAGATTTTGATGTTGCTTTACTTTACAATGAACAGAATAAGGTCTATTCATTAAATATTGATTCACTTGTTGAATTGGAATATTATCTAGAAGCTAAATATAATAATACAAATATTAAAGAAATTTATTGAATTATAAAATTATATATATTTATTTTAATGTAAACAACTTAATACATTTTTATAAACAGTATTTTATTACAATTTTCAAACCATAATAATGCAACTTCATTTATTCAAATAATGAATAAGAATTATAAAAATAAATATTATAAAATTACCGATTTAGTATATTCTGGCAATATATCTTCAACAGTTTTTTTTTTAACATGAGTTTTATTTTTTTTTAAATTTGACTTTTGGCCCTGAACAGTTACTCTAAGTGGAAGTGCTGCCGCAACCTGAAATCATAATAACTAATTAATTTAAAATTGTAATTGTTTTAGCTAAATAGATAATAGAATCAAAACATTTTATTATAAATTAGGCAAAGAAAAATTGTTAAAACAGTAATGATTCCTTTAAATAGTGCTTTAAAAAGTAAACAGACTACTCCATTATCAACTTAAATTAAGTAAAATAGTAAATAAATAATAAGTAAATAAATTTTACAACGGTAAAATTGCTAGACAAATCTATAGTAAATGAATATAGATTAAAGCCAACATTTGAAAAAAATGTAATTGAATAGTTGACTATTAAATAGAAGTTTGATGATTTTGATTTATACCTTAAATATTAATTATAATCATACATTTTTGCAGTAATCTATGTATCCATTTATCTATACTAAGTTGTGATGGATTTTATTTTATAAATATATAAAATTTATCTATTTAATAATATAAAAAAAATCTACATTAAATATTGTATAGTTTACATGGTTAAAATTAGATAATTATTTTTATTCTTTTGTTAGACAATAATTTTTTGTCTTTTACTTACATCAAATGATTGAACCTATAAATTAAAATGATGTAGTTATTCAACTAAGACAAAAGATATTCATACTTTTGATTTTATTAAATGGATATACAAAATATATTGTTTCAAATCAGTATTTTAGTAAAATAAATTATTTTGATGTAAATGATAATAGAAAATTGTTGTAAGCAATTACCTACATTCTAAACAAACTTAAAATATTGCATAATATAATGCAACATTTAAAAAAAAACTATCGGTACAGATTTTAAGAACTCAAACACATTTTGTAAATTGTTGTTAAGGATTAAAGAATGCTCAGGTGTAAGCTATCCTACCTATTGAATAAGAAAAAACACCATTGTAAAAATGCTTAAAATTATCTTGAGCGGTTGGAAGCTGAAAACGTCGATAGAGATTTCGTTAAATTCTAAGTTACCAAAGTATTGGTTAGGAATACCAAATACTTGTAGCCTATGCACTCAACATCACTACGGACGCGAACGATCTGTTGCAGATCACACTTACTTGACTCGGTATGGAAAATCCCAGGGTGAACATGTTACTACGAGATCGAGAACTGTTACAGCAAGAACAATGATAACAATGGCGGAAATCGCGTGTAAAGTGCACTGGTTCTTGTACCAACGGTTTTTCGACGTTAAACAAATGGAACGGGAATGACTGGGTAAATCATTCAAACCATACGCACACCAGACGAGCTAGACGACGCGTAAGGAGATTAAAACGATCGACGGCAATCGCGTCGAGGACGAAAATTTTGTAAGATTTACTAGGTCGCAGAATCGCCGAGCACCGACGGTGGCATGAATATAGCAGGGTGGCGGGCAGAGGAGAATGTATAAATTACATAAAAAACGATAAACAACAATAATAGTACGGTAACAATAGCGTACGAAATACTATAATTTTAATATTTTAACCTAGGAAATATTGTATGTCTTTTTTTTCGCGACAGACGTGATGATGATAATGACGATGATGGCGATAATGATAAGCGATGGCGGTAGTGATAAGGTTTCGCTGTGTGCGTATCAGTGACAATGGTGACCGGCCGTTGTCGCGGGATGTCAGACGTTCGTAATTCGCGGATCCCGTTCGACCGTTACGAAACACCGGCGAAATCCGGATTTATTGGGAAGGGGTACCCTTCTGAGTTTTTGATTAATATATCATACTTTTGACCATTATACGTGACGTGACCAACGATATGATGTAGGTATTACAGTTAAGATTTCACTCGACGAGAAAGAAATAATACATTTTTTAAATTATCTTCGCTCCTATCCACACCTCTCCAGAAACAATGTCTATAGACGCTTTTAGTTACGTGGTTAGTTCCCATAGGACGTCGTCACTCGGGCGAATGTAAGCTCCCAAACGAAATATATCAGGTAAAAATCACCCTTGAGTATTTCTTTTAAGTTCCTACACAAATAAATATTACAATGAATACAAATTTTCCACTTTATTAAGACTTAGGACTTACTCGTTTTAAGTTTTATTCTAATTACTTTGTTATTTATATAATTTTGTTTATTTTGCTTATTTGTTGAGGTCTATTAGTATTTAATGTTCTTATTTTAATATATTTATTTGATTGAAACATTGTTAAGACTTCTATTTTTTGAATATATTAGGATGATGATGAGATGCAAATTTGAGTAGAATTCGAAGTGAACATTTTCACAAGCATTTGTATAATAAGACTTCTACATGAACTATCAGTCTGTTTATTTTATTTTTATCTGGTTTTTCAACTATGAAACATATATTTTGTTCGTGTAAGAACTTATATAGGCACCTACGTAAACGTTCACCTGCTGTATAATACATAATTTTACATTCCCCTTGTTTTACTGAAATCTTTCCGGTTGCGGCTGAAATACAGTCACGCGACGAGTAGCGAAACATTCGTCCCGGTACAGCGGTATACGACGTAAATACCTAACGTATCGGGGAAGTTTCCCGTCACGAACGGACATCGATCCGAAAACTCCATGCCAAGCAAAAATTATTTTCAATGGTGTACCATATTACTATAGGTGCAATCAAGGCTGTATCTAGAAATTTTTTTCGGGGGGGGGGGGGTCCAAAACATGTATATTGTAATTTTATTGAATTTTAATGTTTGGTTAAAAGTAAGACTTATTAGTCTTCTTTTATTAAAATATAATAAAATCAAATAAACAAAATTACTTTGACATTTTATCACGTCAGATTTCTATATACTACGCGCGTTGGTTAGAAGTCTGTGATTATTATTATTAGACGCTATAAAAATATCTAAAAACAGTCAATGATTAATTGGAGCTTAAGTCTTTTTTGACTGAAAACCTTTATGTTGGTATTAAAAATAAATAATTATTTTAAACATTTGTAAAATATTGAAGAAATTTCAGGGGGGGGGGTTGTCCAGACACCCTGAACCCCCACCCCAGATACGTGCAATAGGCATCCCTTGTTGGCTCCGCGTACGACCACGTATGCCATTTCTAATTCCTGCACCGCTATGCGTTACCGTGCCCGCCACTGATAACACCAGTGATAGCCTGGTTAGGCTATTTAATATTATTATTATTATTATTTTGGCCGTTCGTTCCGTTGATACGTCCACGTCCGAATCTCTAGTGAAACGCGTGACGTTCTGTTTTCTACAAAGCTGAACATACCGATTCCGTACTCGAGTCGACAGTACGGTGTTATAAACCTGTAAGTACTACTCATTCAGTAATATATTTTCGTTTTCCGCTCGCGGAACTCCGACCAACCTTCACGTCTTGACGAATGCGATCATGCGTAGGTGAAATTACCGATGGTGTTGCCCACTTTTGTACTTCCTGGTACAACACCCGTGATGAATAACATGAAGAGATCTCAGCCGCAAACGTTCAGCGCTCGCAAAAAATCCAGAACATCGGATAACGGTTTTGCGGACCAATGCATAATCACCACCTCGAGTGGTCTTGAAGTAAATGCCACCGCATCCTTGTTGAACAAACAGGATCTAGTTATTAAATACCACAATGTAGGCATTATTGATGTTGACTCCGTCAGGTCATCTGGTTATGAACAATTTTTTATTCCGTTTAATGATCTATGGCTCCCGGATTAAACCATTAAAATACAACTATAACAGACTTGTGTTCATAAACTAAAATGTTCCTTCTAATTATAATTTTCATATTTTCATTTTTTTATTTTTCACCGTATCATAAAATAAAATAAAATTAATAATAATAAATAGATAATTAATTAATTATTAATAAATTATTAATAATTATTAATAATAATAATATAAAATTTGATTATTCTGATGCCTGTTTAAAATCATACTTTGATTAAATCAAAAACTTAGTAATATATTACTATTATTATTATTATATTGTAAGCTTAAAGAAACTAAAAAGAAGGTTGTCATTAAAAGTTAAAACTAATAAATTCTTAAACATTCTTGCTCATAACAAAATATATAATATTATTATGATATATTATGTGTCAATTGCTCAAAATTTTTATAGTGTGATTTAAATAAACAGCATATCAGTAACAAAATATAACATTTGATTCTTTGCCAATAGAATGTATACTAATATAGTAATATAATATCAGATGCATTTATAACATTTATTACTTATAAATTATTTATAATAATTTAATATCCGGTGCATTTATAATATATATATTAGTTGTAGATTATTTATAAAATATGTTGTTCTTATAACAATAAATCCAACAACTATAAAAAATATAACTTCTATAACAGTATTTCCCGACCATTACGCTAAAACCTACAAAAAAAAAAAAACTTATGCTTTAAAATAATAACATTATTAATAATTGTATTATATACTTAAACTTAAGACTGTCAAATTTAAATCCAATAAATATAATTATATTTTGATAACTAAGATATTTTTCTTGTCATTAGTTTATGAAAAGTTTATAACTATCAAAAATATTTTGTGACCTAATGTTGGGTCACAGCCCATAGCTTGGAAAATGCTGATATAAAAATTATTTTTTATTTTGTCTTATTATTATCAATCATTGTAGTTATATAATTATATAATTTAATTTCAAGATTTTAAATTGTATTATACTGTAAATCAATTTTGTAAAATTAGGTGTTAAACAATCTAATTAATAATTATACTGCATCAATATCTAATTTATGCTATTTTAATAGTTGCATTTATCTATTTCAGAATATTTTATAAAGTAATTTAATGTATACATTAATGAAGAATTTACTAATTATATATTTTAAACAAAATTATTATTTTTAAATACTTGTTAAGAGTATTAAATTGTAATCTCATTGTTTACTCAAATATTATGTTTGTATTAATATAATAATTCAATTATAATATACGTATAGCATAATATTTTTAGACTGTTTTTATAATTTATAATTTGTAAGTAAGTTTTTATAGATTTTTTTTTTTTTTTTTTATCATTATTTTATAACCAAAGCTTGGGACTTATAGTATTTACTTATTTTTATGATTGGACATAGAATAAATGTAACTGAGTGTTATGAAAGTGTATGACTGTTATATAACGTTCAATTATGAAATTTAAAAATGCTTTTTTTTCTTCCTTTTTTTCGTCAATTTTTATAAAAAAATGCGTATCTCCTGTTTTTCTGATTATTTTTACTTTTTTGCATATCTCTGCTTAACGATGACATAGAACACTGACTTAAACCAGATTTTTTTTTCAATTATTTATTAATACATAGTATTTAGATTTTATTTTATTTTTTAGAAAATTCATAAAAAATAAGGTAATATGTCTTGAAAACCAAAGTAAGGATTTATTTATAATATAAAGAATTATTTATTTTTTGATTTTTTAATTAAAAAATTATAATATGGACTACATTTTTTTGTTTTAAAATTTTTTTGAAATTTTTATTATACTTTCATCAAAGCTAAAAATTATGTCTACTACTTTATTTAATACTATAAGTTCATGTAAAAAGAAAATTTTGAAATGTTTGCTAATCTTTATACTATTTAAGATCATTTTTTTTATTAAACATTTTTGTTTAAATTTAAGTTTTTTAATTGTTTATTTGAGTGCTTATAATAATGTTTTTTTAGTGCTTTTTTAAGTGCTAATTTTAATGATTTTAAGTTCTATAAGTCATTAGCCCTGGTTAGAGCTTGCTCTAAGGAAATAATAAATTAATAAATTAGAGCTACACATCTTGTTTGTTTTACAGAAGTGAAAAAAATTGATGCTTACATATAATAAATATACATACTAACATCAATATTAAATAATATATTATACTTCATAACGTATATAGATTTTAATAATTGAAATAACAAATTCCTTTAATCTAACTTTAAAATGATTTATTTTTATTTTGTGTGACAACCTCTTCATCATCAGTATCGCTATATTCAAATTGGTGATGTTTGTGACATCTGGAAACACACCATTGAAATAATTTTTATGCTCAGTCTCTGTTCTTGTAATTACTTTATATTTTTGCTCTTCATCCATTTGACAATTGACATATTTGGATCCCAATCATACATAGGAGACATGTTATAAATAATTAATGTATAAGTACATATTTTGAGTTGAACCATTCATGGCGGAACGTAATGGAGATTTTAATAAATTACTGATACCATAGTTTTAATTTCTTGATATTCATAGATAAATATTTACTATCAATGTTTTAATCATAATTTCTAATAATTCCGGAAAACAAAATAATGCCAAATGGTACCTATGTTACAAACTCATAGACATATAAAATTAATTATTAACAATTAAAATCATATTTTTTTTATGAAATGCTCAAAATTTAAATAAGAACTGCACATTATGTGCATAACTGCACATAAGTGCAAGCTCTGGCCCTGATTATAACATATGGTATGAGTATTTTAATAAAAATTTTTAATTAAATTGTATTGTTAAACCATAGGATTAGTAAAACTCAATTTTTTTTTTATTTTTTTTATTGGTAATTCATTATCTTAGTTGTTATTTTAGATGTAACTACCTAATAAAAGTTATACTTATTACTAGGGCTAGGATTGATTCTGTATCATTTGCATTTTCTTTCATAGTACTCCAGGACATGGCTATTCAAAAACAAAATTCGATTCATTCATCATAGGGTTCAAATATGCAATTTTTTTTTTTGATTTTTTTGCTTTTATTTATGATATTCGTAATTAAATGCTTTTTGGTATTTTTTTGTCAGTTTATTAGCTTTTTAATTAGTTTTTGTTAATTATATGCATATTTAACATTTTTGGAACATTTACGTACATTTTTATTTAATTTTTTATTTTAATTGTATTATTATATATATTTCGTGATTTCGTAGTGAAATATTATTGCCTTATAAAAATTGACTTGTGGTGTGTGATTAGGTGCATGAAGAGAATAATAAGAATTTGTGTTTTGAAGTATTGATGAGTGAGGATAAATGTCTGATTGTTGTACATGTTAAAAAGTTTGAGGATTATAACTATTATTATGATAAGAATGTACGACCGGAGAACTTAAATTGCTTGTATTGTTTGTTATATTTTTTTAGTGCCTGTAAAAATTGAAATTTTAACTTCATTGTTTGGTCATCATTTAATTTTTTAATATCAGGCAAAAAGGACAATAAAATCGCTTTATCAGGGTCATTATTTTCAGGAGGTGGAATACTTAGGAATGGAGGATTTAAAATGGCTTCTAATAATGAATTCTGGAATGGTGTATTTTGTTTGATTTTTTTTTTTGTTGGGGGCTGTTTACTTATTTGTTCAATCAGACTTTCGTCAGTACTGGCATTATTTTGTTCTATATTTATATCTTTCCCCTGTACTGATATATCCAAATCATGACTCATATTACCAGTTGTTCTGTAAAAATATTGTAAATTATTATTGATTTATTTTGAATTGTTTTTCTTATAGATAAAAATGCATTATTTAATTATATTGATAATATTTTCAAAACATTCTATCAATAATATTAAAAAAATACTTACTTTCGTTTTTTTGACAGCTGGTTGTAAAAATTCTATTACAACGGCATATGCATATTTTTTATTTTTATTTTGAGCTGTTGATCCACTTGAAACTCGCCTTGAATCATTGACATCTCTTGTGTAATTATCCCGTATGTTTTTCCATTTTTTTTTTTTAGTTCTTCGGCTATAAAATGTATATAATAATATGAATAAGAATAAGTTAATTGATTTACATTTTACGAGTAGGTATATATAAAATATTTATATTAATATTTATATATAAACTCTAAAAATGAATCTTAAAATTATGAAAATATGAATATTGGTGCTATTGGACTTGAATATTATCCTAAATTTTAGTAAACGTGTAATGGGTAAATTTTATATTTAATGTTGATTTTATTAAATATTACAGATTTTTGTCAAATGGTCTAAATTTTGTTGCTTTAAAATATGAATTTTCGATTGGTAGAAGCACAATCAGCAAAATAATAAAAGAGACTTGTGAAGTAGTTTGGAATGTAAACCAATCAATTGAATTACCTGAACCAAATCGTGATCAATGGATTGACATATCCAATAAATTTTATACAAAAACACAATTTCCTAACTGTTTTGGCGCTGTTGATGGCAAACACATCCGATGTGTTAATCCAAAAAATTCTGGGTCAATTTATTTTAATTACAAAAAGTTTTTTTCAGTAGTCCTGATGGCAGTGGTTGATGCAGAATATTGTTTTATATATATTGATGTAGGGGCATGCGGACGTGAAGGGGATTCTACTGTATTTAAAGAATGTTCCTTTGGGAAAAAATTATATGCAGAAATATTAGACCTACCAGCACCTGTTATTTTGCCGAATACAAATGAAAATCCTCAGCCATTTGTTATAGTAGCTGATGAAGCATTTGGTCTTCACAAAAACTTATTAAGACCTTTTCCAGGACGTGGTATTGATCAAAAGAAAAACGTATTTAATTACAGATTATCAAGAGCAATAAGATATGTGGAATGCTCTTTCGGTATTTTATCGAATAAATGGCGAGTTCTACAAATTACTATAAATGTAAAATCAGATTTTGCTGATATAATTGTGAAGACTTGCTGTGTACTTCACAATTTCGTCCGGAAAAGGGATGGATACAATTTTGAAAGATATTTTGAGCAATAATTTAGATCTTGAAAATAATAATATACCTGGATGCAGATCTCAAGGCAATGATGTTAGAAATTATTTTGGAAATTATTTCATGGATAACGCGGCCGTACCATTTCAATTTAGATAATATAATTTATATTAAAATTGTAAAAACTTACTATAATTATATATATATTATAGTTTTGTACAACTTTATACTAGCTATTTAATTTAATTTTTTTCCGATCGTATTAAAAATAAATAAATTTTATTTTATTTAAATTAGAAAAAGTAAAGTAAAACACATACTTTGTTTTTCCTGTTCGCCATTGGAACACTGTTCCCAATTTTACAAAAATTACTTTGGAAACTTCAATCCAGGCCCTTTATTTCATATCTCTGTCCATATAGTTTTTGCAATTCACTTTCCACAAACACTCATACCGTTCAATCTCCATGATTAGACTTTCAATGTCAATCATAATTATAATTTAAATAAATTTCTATAAAAATAATAATTTTAATAATTTAAATTTTAAAAATTTAAACAAATTTAAATAAATTAAAAAAATTGTCTGGATCACCGTACAAATCGCTGAAACGTACCACAAGTGGCGTATCACAATTAAAATTATGTATTTTTGGAATGAACGGCGGAATTAACTAAATTAATTAATTAATTATTTACTATCGACGGTTTCACCGTCCGACCGTTGCATGCAGCGGTGACGAACGGCGATGATTAGTGCCGAACGGTCAAATCGTTATAGTATGGCGCACTAGATTTAAACATGTGTATTTTTCAGAGAACGGTAAAACGAACGGCGAATAAACCGCAGTGTGGCAGGGGCACTTTGATAAAACTAACTACGTGACAATAAGTCGACTATTTGATGAGTTGTTTTTAATTTTATGGCCTGAAGAGATTAGGCATGAGAATATTTTGTTATTTTTTATCGGATGCCGCACCGTATATGTTAAAAACTATTAAAATATTTAATCCTAAAATGGTACACATTACTTGTGTAGCTCACGCATTGCATCGAGTGTGCGAGGAAATTAGATTACAGTTTCCAAAAGTTAATAAACTGATTTCAAGTATGAAATTTTTTTTTTAAAACCTCCATCTCGAGTAAAAATTCTTCGAAGTATTGCACCAAATATTCTTTTACCTCCAGAGCCCATAATTACAAGGTGGGGAACATGGATAAATGCTGCGATTTATTATTGTGAACATTTTTCTTTAATTAAAAGTGTCGTTATGGAATTGGACGAAGATGATGGTATTTAAATAAAAAAAGTTCATGATTTGATAAAAGATTCTAATCTGGATTGTAATTAAACATATATAAAATCAAATTTTAGTGCTATTTTACGTCTTGAAAAAACCAGTTGTCCTCTGTCCGAGTCAATTAAAATTGTATTGGATGTGCAAAATACAATTGATAAAGCGCAAAACAAAATTGGTAAGACCGTACAACTAAAAATGACATTTTTAGAAAAAAATACTGGATTTAAATCAATATGTACAGTCTCAAAAATTTTGAACGGCGAAGAAGTTTCAAAATTGGAACTGCCAGAAGATTTAAATCTTGATAATATGACATATTTGAGATTTGCATCCGATAACATCCGTGGACGTGGAGAGATCATTTTCTTCATACAAAACTTTGCTCATTGATAATCGCAGATCATTTATGTTTGAAAATTTGAAAAAGTATCTAATAGTACAATGCAACAATAGAAATGCAATTGAATAGTATGTGTCTATTAACATTAAATAATATTTAAAATTTTAAGTTTTTTATAATCATTTATTTAATTAATTTTTGTTTTAGAAAGATGATGTTGAATATAGAGTTGTTTTCAAAATACAAAATATCAAAGAAAATTAAAACATCTTATTTTCTTGTTGAATATTTATATAATAAACAGGTACCTAAAATTTAATAAAACAGTTTTAAATTTATTTTTTTTTTCAATGTATAAATTGCGCTTAGTTGTTCTAAGAATTAATTCGTGTGAACATATAAAAATGTGTTTAATAAATTATGTTTTGATATTAAAAATATTTTTCAGTTAAACTTAAAAACGTTCAAGTCTTTTTTAGTTGTATTTTCCTGGTTAAAATGCTTTTTTTTTTGTAGCATTATTCGCAATTTTTTAATTCCTTTATTGTAGGTTTTTTGTGCATCGTTTTTTTAGCCCTAATTATTACACTTAAAATGTTTAAGTACTTATAATGCATTTTAAATTTATAAATTCAGTTACTTACTAAATTGTTTTTACAATAGATTATTACTTGATCACTGGTCGTAATATATGTTAATATTGTTCAATAAAATTTCAATCAAAAATTATTAGTAATATCGTATACTTTTGTCCAATTATGTTTTTTTTACATTATTTCTATGTTAAGTATATCTATATATTTCTATGTAGTAATAAATAGTTTAAATATTGTTTCAAAACCCATAAGAATGAAATTTTGAATTTTTTTAAGACAAATTAAAATTTTTTTTTTTTAACTAGCGTTAAAATTTCTGTAATAATATTTCATTTCATAATCTTTAACTAAAATAATTTAATATAAATATAATCTTTATTTTTTTATTTTTAGACATAATTTTATCAAATAAAGGCAATCACATTTCACGCATTGTTAATCATTGATACCTTTATTATAATCATTTTGATTTCTATTAATCAAATATTATTAGAGATGATATGATAATAATGATATAATAGCCAACTGCTAATTTTTAAGTAAAATGTATGTGAATCATGAAAAATTTAATTTGAAAAATATTTAATTAAAACTTGTGTATATTAATATATTGATAAAATGATAAGTAACTTATTGACTAAAAATTAAATAAATACTTTATTATCAATACTATATATTTAAGTTAAGTTAAAAACGATCTTTTCTATTGAAAATATATCATTGGTCAAAAAACTAAAAAAAAAAAATAAGTTAATAAATAGTTACTTAATAAAAATTAATGTTATTAATTAAATTAATTTAAGTTCTAAGTTTATTCAATACAATACGTCAATGTTTGTCAAGATTAAATTAACCCTTTCAGACCTGACGATTTTGTGTAATATTATAAAATTTTTTTTATATAAATTATTTATAGTCATGTATCCACGAATAATTTAATCTAGGTTTGAAGAAAATCGGACAAATATTGAAAGACTTACGGATGGGTACACCATAGTGTACTTTGGGATTTAGTGGAAAGAAAAAATATTTTTAATTTTCACATAACAAAAAAACGAACCTCGTTTATTAAAAAAAACTTAAAATAAAAAAAACAATATTACATTTTCCTTTAATAAATATAACTGTAAGTACTTGTTTTACTAGTAACTATGTAATCATATTTTAAATTGACATTTAAATTAAATAATTCCCAAAATTGAGACTTCATAAAAAATAATTTTGCACTTTTAATTAATTTTTATTTTAATTAATTATAAAGTATAATGTTTTAATATTCACAATATGTATTTACTCTTCAGTGTTATGATATTTATCTTATACACAATAAAAAAAAAAAAAAATTGGAAACTGAGAGAAAAAAAAATTATTTATACTTGTTAAGTGTTCAAGTATATTAGTATGTTAAGAAGTTATAAAAATTGCACACAGATAGTGTTGTCAGTTAGGTACGTAGAATATTAATTTGTGGTACGATAATAACAATATAGGTAGTTCATCCAGAATAACGCAATTAAGCTGACAGTGGTGGATTCAACGGAAACAAAAATTTAAAATAAATAACGTGCAACTTTGATAAATTTGTTTTAAAACAAATGTGATAGTTTTTTGTGAATTATTTGTTCACAAATCGATGTGATTACATCGCCATCCCGTCGTAGTAAAAATCGGATACGGCATTGGAGTCAGGCATCTGAAGTGGCATTTTCAAAATTGACTCGTACATATTTTTTTAGTTCTATCGGTGTTTTATAAGAAAAATATTTAAATGAATTCATTCGTGAAAACCACTTAACTATATAATACAATAATATTGGCTAAAGTTATAATATTATTTCATATTACGGCCTATGTTGAGTGTTTTCAATTATTCCAAAAATATAAATAACCACACAATCACTTCCACGATTTTCGATAGCCACGATAGTGATGAGTTTTGAGTAATAATTATAAAAATCATTTTTAAGTCTTTCTACGTATAATTTTATACATAAAATAAAAAATTACAATTTTTTTTATATAGATATGTCACAAAAATAAGGGGAGGTTCTAAGTTAAAATAAGAGCTTATTTTTTTTTTTTTTGAGGCGGCAAAATTTGATTTTGCCTAGTGCTCTGTTTATGCTTGGACCGGCCCGGAGTATATTAGCATGGGAATCAATATTTTACCCTTGCGCCGCTGTTTTCTGTACTTTGTAGGCAGTGGCGCCGAACCCTAAACTGAAATCAAATCATTGTCTGACATCTTTTAGAAATTTAGGATAGAGTCGTTTTATATTGAACTGAAGTTAAGATGCCAAATCGTACGAAAGCTTCATAACAAAATTAAAGCCTATTGTCAATATTTTTCGGGTAAAAACCACTATCTCTTCTCATCGGGTAGGCCATTGTGGCTGATATTTATGTATTATGACCTTTTTAAATATTTTTTGTTCGACTAAATATTTTAAGACACGGCGCCACTGTTTGTAGGTATATATCTGAGAGCTGTTCATAGTAACCTAAACTTTTAATAATTAATAACGAAAATATTTTTTTGAATAACGGTTCCATTTATTTTCGTAGTGGTGCAGGCGACGCAGTTAACGAATTGTGTTCCGACGAAATCACTAGCAGATGAGTTGTGTCCCGACGGAAATTGTCTTTCCAATATTTTTCAAATTTTATTGAAGTTCTAATGAATTTTCAATGCAATATTTTCATTGCAATTAGAAATACTGGAACATTATCAAAGACGACATCCGTAAAAAAATTAATTATTAAACAAAAATTAAATGCATATAAAAATGGACAAATTTCTAGATTTAAATGTATACGATAAAAATATATTACTAAAAATAGTAAATTTTTGTCAAATATATAATTATTTTATATTTTATTTATATTAATTTTAAGTATAACGTTTTATTTTATTTATTTTTTTTTCAGCATCTATTCTAGCGTAATATATATATACAGGGTGGCCCAAAAGTCTTTGCTCACTG